GCAAGATATTGCTTATAGTTCCCTGGGCTATACAGTATAAACTTGTTTGTCTATTTTATATATAGTAGTTAGTACCTGCAAATCTCAGACTCCCAGTTTATCCCTTACCACACCCTTCCCCTCCGGTAACCATGAGTTTATTTTCTATGTCTCTGAGTCTATTTCTGTTTTGTAGATAAGTTCATTTGTGTCTTTTTTTTGTTTTGGATTCCACATATGAGCAATCACATATGGTATTTTTCTTTCTCTTTCTGGCTTACTTCACTTAGGATGACGATCTCCAGGTGCATACGTATTGCTGCAAATGACATTATTTTATCCTTTTTTATGGCTCGGTAGTATTCCATTGCATATGTGTACCACAACTTCTTTATCCAATCATCTGTTGATGGACATTTAGGTTGCTTCCATGTCTTGGCTATTGTAAATAGTGCTGCTATGAGCGCTAGGGTGCCCGTATCTTTTCAAATTAGAGTTTCCTCTGGATATATGTCCTGGAGTGGGATTGCTGGATCATACGGTAAGTCTATTTTTAGTGTTTTAAGGAATCTGCATGCTGTTTCCCATACTGGTCGCACCAAACTACATTTCCATCAACAGGGTAGGAGGGTTCCCTTTTCTCCACACCTCCAGCATTTATTGTTTGTGGACTTTTGAATGATGGCTATTCTGACTGGTGTGAGGTGATACCTCACTGTAGTTTTGATTTTCATTTCTCTGATAATGAGAGATACTGAGCATTTTTTCATGTGCCTATTGGCCATTTGTATGTCTTCATTGGAGAATTGCTTGTTTAGGTCTTCTGACTATTTTTTGATTGAGTTGTTTGCTTTTTTTGTTGTTGTTATTAAGTTATATGAGCTGTTTGTATATTGTGGAAATTTAGCTTTTGTCTAATAATTTGCAATTATTTTCTGCCATTCCATAGGTTGTCTTTTTGTTTTGTTTATAGTTTCCTTTGCTGTGCAAAAGCTTATAAGTTTAATTAGATCCCATTTGTTTATTTTTTCTTTTATTTCTATTGCCTGGATAGACTGCCCTAGCGGAACATTGCTGATTTATGCCAGGGAATGTTTTGCCTATGTTTTCTTCTAGGAGGTTTATAGTGTCTTGTCTTATGTTTAAGTCTTTAAGCTATTTTGAGTTTATTTTTGTGTATGGTGTATGGGAGTGGTCTAACTTCACTGATTTCCATGTGGCTCTCCAGCATCCCAACAACACTTGCCAAAGAGGCTGCCTTTTCTCCACTGTATATTCTTGCCTCGTTTGCCGAAGATTAATTGGCCATAAGTATGTGGGTTTATTTCTAGGCTGTCTATTCTGTTTCATTGATCCATATGTCTCTTTTGTGCCAATACCATGCTCTTTTGATTACTGTAGCTCTGTACTATTGTCTGAAGTCTGGGAGGGTTATACCTCTAGCTTTGTTATTTTTCTTGAATATTGCTTTGGCAATTCTGGCTCTTTTGTGATTCAGTATAAATTTTAAGGTTATT